ATGGGCCAGTAGGTATCTTAATTATCTGTAGTGTGTTTGTCACCTTACTTCTAAATGTCTGAACCGATTTGTTTAATATTTAGATTATAATAGTAAGTAAGTAGGTGGCACTGCTTTTCTGATGGTTTCGCTAATGTAAATATAATTGATGATTTGCCTTGTAGAATATTTTTGCATATATAAGCAATATATCTGAACTAGAAATGTTCCAATAGAATTGTAACCCATTTTTACAAAACCAATAGTACTAGAAATAGTCAATATTATTTCATTAGGTACGCTGAAATTACTCGAAGTAGCGACCGTGGCCGGTGATCTAGCAGTTTAGCAGTTTAGCATACCACCTTATTTCCGATAATCACGGGTTTTATTCCTCGCACCGTACAAACATATTTATGATTGTTTAACTGTTTTTTGGCTGTTTACTATACGTATTATATATGAATTTACAAAAAAATGTATCTATGTATTTATATTCGTTGTCTGGTACTCACACAGACACTGCATAGTTTGGTATTATTATTTTCACAGTCACAAGGTTGATTTGTATCGACTGATACCTATGACTATCTAATTATAACCTCTATGAACTTAGAAGATGGTAATAGCATATCTTTTCCCATCGCCGACCAGAGTATGACAATGGTTTATGATACAACTTCTAACATACAGGTTTCATTTTATATTCAGTTTTTATCTAATTCGGTGATGGGGTAAGTTTTTAAGTGTGAAATAAAACATTGTAAACAACATAAAGTTTAATTTCTTTGCAACAATTACCACTTTAATTTTACATTGTCCAACACAATATCCTTAAAAGTATCTTACATATTAATTATATTACTAACTAATTACTATGGACTAGGTTAGGCCGTTTAGAATAAGGCCTAATGGTCAGTAAGATTGCCTTCAAACTATCGCGTTACAGGACTTAAATGCGAAAAACTCGCCAGTCTCTCCATGTGACAATGACACGTATCTCTCATCTAGTAAAATATCATGACTCCAGAACACGTAGAGTAACGAAAACCTCTAAATAAAAACCATTGAAAAGAGAACTCAATAAAAAGGAATGGAAGATATAAATATAATTAAACTTTTTGTGTATCTTTCTATGAATTAAACTGTTAAGTATTTTTCACATTCAGGATATTTTTAGGAGTAATGGATACTATATATAGATGTTGCGAATGTGATCAGAAAAAAGGCTGCAACAAAATATATTCACTGTCTGTAACCATATTGATACTTTTTACTTAATTTTAATTTCTTAATAAGTTTTCAAATCAGTAATCAAAATTATTGATAATAAAAATATATGTCAGAAGAAGTCTGCCTGGTAATTGACAGTACCTAGAAGTAATAATATGAAATTACAAATCTGAGATACATTCAAAGTTCAAACATTTTCTTCTACTACTTTAATACAACTTACTTCAATCTATACAATCTTTAAAGAAATGATTGATTGAATTAAAAAAAATGTAATGTTAGTTTGAGTATCGTTAGGGTTCTAACATTCATAGTAGTAGTGTACTTTCGGAGTAGGCCCACAATGAAAAGTGGTAAAGTAGAAAAAGCAAATATGAAGTTACAGTTAGTAAAAGTCACGGGATCTTACCACGTTTTATTTTTATTGAGTTCCCGATGTTTCAGCAGTGTTCCAACCACTACGATCACGGGTAAACTGAAGAGCAGCGGGTAAATGGCAAATAAAATATTTTTTTATGGATAGACATATGCGTCTACCTTCACACGTCTTCGTTTGCTGCTACTATAGAAACTCGCTCGATATTCATCTTGGTAAATTATACTCAGAATATCTTCACATACATTTAATACACTTTCTGATCGCGTTTTTTGTTTTTGTTTCAATAATAAATAAAAACAAACCGTGGTAAAATCTTATGATTTTTAACAAATTATACGTATAAATAACAACCGCGTCAAATTTAAAACAGTATACGAAGTTGCAGTATAAGATATATCATTACACATATGAAGGAGTGCTGGTATAAATTACTACATTTAAATATTACTGTGTTTTTTATACAGAATAGGTAACCTTTGAACATATTATGTAAGTATATTAGTATGTATTTTTGTTTCCGATTTTAGGCAAGTAAGGAGGAAACATGCCAGTTAACAATGTGAAAGTTATATTGAGTGAGTATCAGGTACTATATATATATCCTTATCCTTGAAAGTTGTACAGCCAATTTAACAAAATTCAATATTACCTACGAATCTTTCAAATAAGTTTCAGGGGATCAAATTTCGGTTAAATTTTAATTGACTTCATAACAAATATAGCAATTAAATCATATCTTAACATGAAATATTGTTTAATTTACTGCACTTGTGGGATTTTCATAGAAATATAAGATCGGTATATACAATTTAAGACAATTATATACCTATACCCATTGTTGATTTCAAATAGAGGGATATCCCTTCAACCGTATTTTTTGTGTGTTTTGGTATCTGTACACAAAAAAATGCAGGTAAGATTTTCTTTCGTTTCCATTCCATATTAATTAGTAAAAAAGTTGATTTAATTAGTTAATGGAAAATAAAACCAAGAGCGTCTTGATATAGATTAGTACTGTTTTATATACTTATTGGGGATATATACATATTTTTAATAACAAACATATACAATAGGTATAATTTATAAAAATCACGTTTGTTTTATTGAGTTCCCGATCAGGCAGTGTCTCAACCGCCTAAACGGGTAAATCGATATTTGTCTAAATAATAGAAGAATTGGATGTATAAATAATGACCGCGTCAAATTTAAAACAAATACAAATTGCATATTTTTGCTGTTACAATAGTAGGTATATATTTACGTAGCAATGTACAAAACAATATGTCATTTCTTAAAGATTTGCGTTAGTTCCTGTACGATTACCTGAATTTTATTCGTATATATTTTAACAAGATAACCCATTATTCCGCTTCTGGGTTCGGGTGTCGTTATGCAAATACAATTTAATATATGATTCACGTTAGTAGCACGTTGACAAGACGACTTCGTACATGGTTTTTTTCACTTTTATCCGTGTACAATATATGTGCCTCTTGTTATCTAAGAAACATTTCTATCCATCCAGGGGATGACATACATGGTGTCAGTTTATATTCTTAAATCGTCATAACGCCATAAATCTTCGTACGTACTACGTCGTGATAACTACTTCTACATAATGCAGGATTCTCGTATATTTTATCAACACTATAGTAGAAAAATATTTAATTTAATGCCCCCTAGTGTTGACAAATCTCATGTCGCTAGAAAAGTTATATCGCACATAGTGCCAAGTTTAACGATTTAGTAACTTTACATAGTACATTATTATTACAGTTAATTGTGATTGATAACTATTAACCATACCCAACACGAAAATGGCTTTCACTTAGTAGTATTCTCCGCATGTAGCTTAAATTAAGTAAGAATGTACATAATATAATATACAATAACTTGTGAGGTACGAAACTTTTAAGTTGCTTGTCATTAACCAATCATATATCTAAAATATATGTGCTACATGCTGTGAGAGATATAAATAAGAAAAATAAAAATCTGACGAACTACAAGTATAACAGAAATGTAATAATTTTAGTTGGTATTTAATTAATTCACTCCACACATTGAATAGTGACTATGAATAGGATAAATATATATCAAGGTCACTGGAAAATCATAATCCACTATTGTGTATCGAAGTACTTTTATTTATATGAACTGTTAATATCATAACATCACTGGATCAAAAATATTTGTAGTGGCTGAACTATCAATAAATACGTTATATACACATAATCACATATACACATTATTCAATCTAGTATAATTGATTTCCAAGATTAAACCGACGGTATAATCAATTAAATTAATATTTTGTTTTTACAATTGCTGTATATATAACATTAAAATTTTAATATATCTATTAATACTAACAAATAACAGATTTCTACATTTATGTATAAAAATAATCAAATTCAAGTGTATGCTTATAATATATATACTATCTGTATACTGCACTATACTATATGTACATATATATATGTATATATAAGTATAGTGTAATTAATTATATTATTTATACAACGGCATTCATAATCTTTGAAATTATTAACTGCTAGTATTGATCTAGCAGATATATTATATACATTTGGTATATGAGTAAATATATATCTTTACGTATATAGGTCTATAATTAAGGTACAGTCTTTGTAACTACGAAACAGTAGCTTTCAGATCCCAATTTAGTCTTTACTAGACGGCACACATGTATATTTTGGTCTTTTGGTATTTTTTACTATTTAAGTTATGCATAGAAATATTTAGATTTGGTATAGAAAATAAGTCCATATTAAATCGTTAAAAATCAATTATGCGTGGTTACATATTAATATTGTTTGTAGTAAGATTATTTTTCAAATTATAATTAATATTAATTATAATTTAATTAATATCATTACCGCAAATCTTTCAGTATAATTGTATCACTATCATTACTACAGAAATATTATATAATATTTCTTTGAACAATGCCTATTAAACCAGAAATGTAATAGACAAGGCGGCAGTTTATAGTACGAGTAGAAAACAAATATTGGAGAAGAAATTGGAGATTCTTGAATTTTTGTTTTAAGTAATACATGAACAAGCTGTTACTATATATACGTTTTAAACAAATATTGTTGTCCATTCCATTTGCGAACACATTACAAATATGATTAATAATATTCACAGTTTAACGTATAACATGGTCAGTTCTATTTAGTCGTTTTATGCTTTCTGTTTAGTTTGGTTTTAAACGATCACTCAATTGCTATGATTTTATGTTTCCAGTCCATTTTATTTTGTTTTAATCCTAATTTGAATCTGGTCAATGCAGGACTGATAGCTTTGTCATATAAATAATATATAAGTCTTCAAAGCTATAAAATTAGAGAATTATTATTGTAATAAAAACTAGTTTTAATCAAACTTATCCGTATTCCTTATCATGTTGGTTTATTGAATATGACCTATCATGTTGAATGCCGATGAAATCGACAGGCGTAGTCTCTCCACTAGGTAATGTTTGATGTGAACTATATAATGAATGCGCCTTTCGTTGCTCATTGACGAAAATCGTTTTATCCAACTGCATGTTCTGTGAACTATGTCTTTTATCTCTTTTTGGTGGTTGTAATTGTAATAGCTTTTGATCAAAGCAAGTGTGTAGTCTATATTCTCGGTTAAGAGATGCAATCCTTTTGCATTCATTACAAGAATTCCTCACATCGAGCTCGTATGTGTGAGCAGTATCTTTGCTGTCGTGTTTTTTCTTATGACCATTTGAGAGTTCAATCTTGGGTGAGTTACCTGAAAAAATATATACCAATTGTAATTAATCTATAGAATAATTATTATTGTAATATACACTGGTTTGTTTGTTAAATTATAAATTTAGTTAAATATGAAGAAAATGTTCATAAAATCTTCTTAAGGTCTTGTTATTACAACCAGTTTGTGTTATCAATTAGCAAAGTATATATTTATGTATTCATGGGTTTAAGTGTTTCTGAATTGTTATTGAAATACCTGAGTTGACTGTTCCAGATGAAGTTTGATTACGCAGAAAAGCCATAGCCGTATACGAACACCTTTTGCCACTGGTTCGCTCAGCTTTGCAACAGCACCAATGTAATATAGTATTCTGTGAAAATATATTAATTTCTTTCAATGCGTTACGAGATTAGACATTGTATATAATATACTACTATTCTACAAGAAATAACTGGTTAGATAATAGAAACTGTATGAATTTTACATAAGCGATTGAAGTTAGATTCCATAACTTGTGTCAAACGCATGTCAATTTCATACATTTGGATTTTAAGGTTACGCTAGCGATGTACCTACATAATGTTGTCTTGGACGGCAGCTTTAATGCTGATTCATCGTAATTAAATTGTATAGAAACATATTTAGGTATAAGTATAAACGTAACACAAATTATTCAGACGCTAATCATTGTGAAATATTTTTTGTATAATGTTGACATTAAGTGTTAACTATTATGCATTGCTAATTTTTCATTTTTCATTTCATCCTCATATAATACTCAATTTTTAAAATAAAGTAATATATGTAGATTATTTTATTTAATAAATTGAAAATATATTTTTTAAAATAATTATATAGTCTGCATACATTTAGTTTTATTTTGAGAGATTTTTTTATTACGCCCATCAGTTTACACTTAATTCTTAGATTATTTGGATGTTATTCAATAAGTAAAGCTCTTTTTTATTTCACATTTAATTAAATGTAGATTATATGCCAAATCCATACAAAATAAACTAAATTTATTAAGGAATCTTACTTTATCTCTTAACATTATTGTTATGTAATAGGAATGGCAAATAAGTTGAAGTCCCACCTGATGGTATGTGGTAACCGTCGCCCATATACATAAATAGCACCAATGCTGTCGTATATATATCGTGTATAGATACGTGATGTATCACGTTACAATTAGATACCAGTATTACCACTCACGTGTTGCTATTCTGGAAAATTGATATGTTATACCTTCATATCCTGTAATTTCATTATTTTATATCACACTACAAAGCAAGTGGCGGTTGAAATATGTGAAACTAAGATATCTAAGCAAGCGACTTTTATAATGTCTATATCAGTTAATTTTTCCTCTGAAAGGTAACAATTTTTCATAAAAAACTGTTGTGAATTCTGAAAATACAGAGAATAAGTAAAGCAATATACCGTATAAACATTACCTATACCAACCTTAATAATAAACTATGTACCTAAATCATGAATGTTTTATAAGCCTATATTACTTAAACATGTTCTGCACAAACATAATATAGCGTAGCGTGTATATAAAGATTCTCGTAAACCTTACAAGAAAAAAATAAAGGACGGTAAAAATGGTAAGTACCTATAGAATGAATAGTTGCGGTACGATGTATAAAAGTTGAATGTGATGGGTATAAAAGTGAATATGAACCAACCATATATATGTCATATTCAAAGTAAGTATAATTATGGAATCCATCGCATACATAATAACTAGCGGTAATATAATCCTAGTAAGTATATTCTGTACTATAAAAATGGCTATAACGTACGGAATTAATATAAAATAAGCCTCGATACAGGAATAAATCAATTAAATACAAAAATAGTATTCAAATTCGACGCAGGACTACTTAATCCATATAGTAATATATCTGTAAACGTTGTACAAATACCTCCACTAAACATACATTATAGTTTAAAGTGCTTGTTTAGCATTCGAGAATTTAAAATCAGCGTAATTTGACTAGGTTACACGTATAGCTACGTTTCAATTTATTACTTTCGTAAAGTAATAACTTGAAATTGCTGTGTGATCATTATATTTATAGATAGCATATAATATGTTATTTAGAAGTTCATTTTGACTTTCGGATAGTTTTGCTAAATTTGCCATTTCAAGGACATACATAAAAGTATGTTTATCATTAAGATCTGTTCAGTTAATCGGCTAAAGGCAAACAGACAGACACTCGTTTTCATTAATAACATTAGCATAGCCCTGAGACTTCCACGAAACCACGTCATACTTGTAGACAAATTACACCCAGAGGAAATTTCAGGTACTTGTAGACTATAAGTAATGAACGCTATAGAATTAATGACAAATACGAGTAATTTGAATTTATTTACCTTAAAGGCTTCTCGAAATTTGTTAGACATAATGTGGTAGAAAATTGGATTGATGCACGTAGACACGTAATAGAATACACCGGAGATGTAAGTGAGGAATGAGTACACCATTAGCAGTATTGGAGATTTGGCTTGGTGATTTTCCGTGGTGCCGTAGATTGCAACGAGTCGTTGAGCGTGGAATGGTGCCCAGCATATAAAAAATGCTACCACAACTGCAACTGTCAATAAGGATAAAAATAATTTAAATAATATACTTACTATATATTAATTACATGTACATCATATATCTAAGAATGATGGGATTGCTCATAGCAAATTAGTAGTTTTTTTTGTAGTGTAGTAGTATTTCTGTGCCCTATAATTAATAATTTTGGATACTAGTATCACAGATAATATAATATTACATACTAGTAGTATAAAAGCAAAAGTATGTTCATTTGTTACTACTAAACGCCTTAGGATCCGATTAATGAAAAAATGTTTAAACATAAATATGTTGCATTAAGAGTATAGATATAGGCATTTCTTTTTCTCAAAAAATAATCGTGAAATAGGCGATGAAAGCTTGTACAGACGAAGTTGCAGGTATCAACTAGTTATGACATATTGTATACGTTCATATAGATAAAGTCAATATGTCTAATAAAATAGAACTCTTATTTACAGATCTTTATAAATTCTCTTGTTACACCGATTGGATATCTGTTAGAGATAGGGTCTGTCTAGAGATAGGGACAGACCCTATCTGTCTCAGACTACTACCTAGCTTTTATTATAATGAGAAAGGAACTTAAAACCTTTACATATGTAATGTACGATCACGGTAATATAACACAACATAAATGAAAACTTCAGTTGTTCAACCAATTGAAGTAGTAAGATATCTTCTTCTTATTAATAAATCAAACAATTGTCATGTAATTTTAGAATAAGAAAAATAGAGATAAATAAACATATGAGTATAAGCGAGCTATGATACAAAAACAGAGCGATAGGCAGATAATGTTTTAGTAATTTAGATCTTTTGTAAGTACATCACTTATAGACTATATCTTAGAATGTGGTCTTAATAAAAGAAACAAAGGACATGCTATTTATAAAACTCAGCGTTTAGTTAATAGATAAATGTTTGTAAGGGTTATCGATAGGTTTGAACGTATAGTTATAAAAAATGTACGAGCTGAATAGGGCACGCCATGCCATGTTGCGGAAGTAATACTGGCGATACGAGTAGTTATGTTTGTTGTGAACTTTTTTTCTGATTTTATTATAAATAGAAAGCGACAACACCACAAAGTATATTCAACTTTAATACTTAGCCAAGTTTTGACTCTGAATCCGTCAATGGACATTCATAACAAGTTTAGTTGAAAAATAATTCTTTTCAAGATATTAGTGATGACAGATATAACAACTATTAGAAAGTATTTCAGTAAAAAAGGTATATAAAGTTATCTGAGTATGTATTACAAGAAAGGTTTCAAATATATATTTCATGTAGGTATCTGTGCTTAACAGTAGTAGATTTAAAAAAAATATCGTTATATACGTATTTATATTTATTGATCTCTATGATCCTCTTCACAACAGTTCATATTAATACTCCAGTTTAAAGAATATGTTAAGCGACTGCGTGATTCTATGGCGCTTTTCGTTATGCCTAGGAAAATGGAAATAAAATACTTATTGTTATTATGTTTTCGTTATTTGTTTGACATGATCTCTGTATTCTTATTTTGTTGCATTTTTAAATTTTTGTCACTTTAATATATATGTATGTATATAAGAACTACAATGTAAAATCCGGATGAAATAATAAATGAACCTTATACATATATTCGTCAGATTTTGACTTACGGAGTTACTAAAATGAGTTATAAGAGATTATTTATACATCTACATCTCCAGATAATTATTATAATAATTATATATTATAATATACATATCTCAAGTATATATATTCACGTTTAGTATAGCTTCCTATTTATAAGTGCAGACAATAGAGGTCATTGTTTCTGATCTATTGTTCCACTGTCTTCAGAACAATTGAAATTCATATTTGTCAGTGTCAGTATAAATCTCATGCTCATTAAGTTTTTTATTCTATGATTTCTGCCGTATTCACCATTCCCTGAATTGCGTTATGTTTTACTGCTTGGCACATGACACCTTTATGGTTTTTGAATCACTATACTGTCATGAAATAAGTGAGAGACCCAATCACTTTGTTTCATAGAAGTTATTATAGTTGCACATGATTTTTACAGGTAAATTTATGAGAGAATTTATATGACATGAATAATTGTAGTCGACAAATAATGTCGCATTGATATACTCATAAGGGTACATGCATCAGAATAATCACCATTCATTAGGAATATTACAAAGTAATTATGTAATTACTTGCATGTTTATGCACAACAATAAGTCAGTATTTTGTATTTTATTATGTTTACATGTAAACACAGAAAAAAGTTTTGATTTTTACGGTAGGTATTTAATTTACGCAATCAATTACATACACCTAGTTGGAAGTGGAATAATAATTTAATCAAATGTATGAATAGCCTCTGACCCAGATCCACCTATCTTTTTATTAAATCTATTGTAGTGATCTGTACTATTATTATTACAAAGAGGGAGATCGGAATTTGTTATGACAAAATTAAATTCTGGAATTATTGTACCAAACTGAAACAATATTTATATAAGAAAAATTACAGATTTATGTGTTAATATATACAACATTAAAAAGGTATATATACCTGGATTAAGCCTATATATAGACCGGTAGACTTATAGTAACTAAAGAAATCAATATTTAATATCATCATGTAATTTTATAAACATGCCACGTAACTAACATTTAATGTTGCTATATTTACATGTGGTATATACGTGGTTTCCAGTTCTATAAATGTTAGGTTATATTGCAGTTTCTATGCACATGCTTACGCTGTATCACGAAGTAATTATAATGCCATTATTATCAGCCAATAACGTGTCTCATAATGCCATTATATTACTTATTGATTTATTATTCTTCAGATCAATTACTTATTAACATCGCTTGACTTTGTTGACACCATGTCAATAATATATATATATATACATGATTCGTTAGATATATAATAAAATATAAATACCTGTGCTAACATTAATTTTAAGCATAAGTGTTGCTTGGTGTAATTAGAATTTATATGTATGTATAATGTGCTAAAAAGGTATAAAATAGAAATAACACATTGAACGACAATTAGTTGGCATCAATCATGATTTCTAGTTTGGTACGAATGTAGAAATTACTATGCATTGAGATAAACATTTTTTTGTAACTCATAAATTAAAGAAAATAGAAAGAATAGTTGTTAATGCAGTAAAAAAATTACCGTTAAACACAGAGTATATAAAATAAAAAAATCTACATTTTAGAAATTGTATTTTTGTTAAATTATTAATAAATATTAAACATATATGGAAATAATTCTACAAAATATAAGCTTAATGTACAAGCAGAGGTCATGCTTGCCATAGATCAAAAGTTTAAACTATGTGTTATGATCATAAAATGTTAGAGATTTCCAACTTCCGTGAATTACAACATATTCATATTCAATCAGTTGCGAATATCGCTGACACTGATAAAAACACGTAACTTAAAGAAATTAAGTGAAATAAAAAAGAAACAAAGATATTCGTATGTATTTTAATTGTAAAACTAAATGTCACTGAATCGTATGATTAAATCTGTGAGTTATTGTAAATATTTTGGATGACGAAGTACGATTAGGTATAATATGTACTGTTACTGTTCAGATTCATGAATTTGTAAGTAAGAGAACGCCAAATAAACCTCTATAAGTATCCTTGATAGAATGGTATGAGTAGCAGTTCGCATTACTGATAACCATTGAGTATAACACTATACCAGTATACTAACTAGAAAGGGTAATTCCTGATTTATTATTTGTTGAAAACGTAAAGGTACCTTTTTAATGTATCTCCTATAACCGAGATTTGTTTGGAGTATATGCAAAGAGCGATAAATGAAGCAAGGATCCACTGACCGCGTTCTAAAGAAACTACTTGGATCGCAAATCAAGTATCCGGAAAAAAATAAATAAAAATAGAGTGAACGATACCAGGAAAATAGTGGTCTCGTAATAGTACGAGTAAAGAAAATTTATTATGAGTTATTTGATAATTATGATAATGTTAAATGGAGAATTATCTGTATCTTTCCATATGCAAGCAGGTAAATTATTTGATAGTTTATATATAGATATTTTGATAGTGAGCCTAGATATCTAAGTTAGATATGTTAACAATCGGCCGGGATATCATCATCATCAGTTCACTGCTGGACATTGGCCTCTCCCAAGGCACGCCACTGGGCACGATCTTCAGCTCTTCTTACCCAGTTACTACCCCCAATCCGGAATATCTTAATTAAACTAATTTCCTAAGAAAAAATATATTCATATAAGCATAACTAGCATAGGTACAGATAGACATAGGTGATTAGCATAAATTTGCAAAAACTTAAAGATTTTGTTCACTATTGAAAAATATAACAAGAGAGATTAATGTTTTCCTTCCCGAATATTTTATTGTTAAATATGATTTCATGGAGAAAATACTACGTCAGTACTTTTCAACTCGTAGACGATTCAGAAAATACGAGCGAAAGATCATCTTAAGAGACTTAGATTCAAATTTTCTTTATTTAAATCTTTATGAACAACAAAAGATAAAATGTTTATCTAAAAAATTCAAGCAATGAATTTATTATCTACAATTATATCCAAGAATCGGGGTTTTATTAAAAATTCAAGTAACTAAACAAGATTTACCAATAATAATCTGTTTTTCGTGATGTTTGAAACACCGTAACTAATTTAGCAGTACCCAAATAGATACTTTTGTTTACGATTTCATTTTATAAACTAAAAGGAAACGGTTTTGTAAATATCTATTATACAGGCAGGTAGGTACGTTTGTTATGCTTGTTCTAAAACAGATATCTGATAATAATATAATACATTAATTTTATGTTGTAAAAATAAGAAGATAAAAAATAGTTACCTAACATTTTGACGACTCTTCTCGTCGACTGGCTGGATTTTCTTCGAACTTCATGGGTCAAATGGCGACTTCGTTCAAATAATCTTTGGTCATTATTGTCTTTACTTATACTAGTTTTTCTCAGTCTCAAACCGATTAGGGAGTACAAAACTGTGATTAGTACCATAGGGGCAAAGAAAAAGAAGAATGTTGATAATTCAAAAGAATGTTCGATTATGACACGTGTTTGCAAACACATAGTGATACCCTGATGATCCCTGATGCCGAACTGTAGAGCTTGAGGCAAGGCGAATGCGAAAGCGGCTACCCAAAGCATCATAACGTGCCGTGTAGCTCGTGAAAGTTTGGACATCTTATGTGAGACGAACGGATGACATATTGCTAAGTATCTCTCGATAGTAAATAGAGTTATTGTCAACACGCTCGCATTGGTGGAGGTCTCCGACGCTAGGCCGCGGAGTAAGCAGAAACTGTGCCCGAAAACATAAGGCCATTTTGACCAGATTGAATACATTTCCTGAGGTATCCCACTGACTAACAGAAGTAGGTCTGATATTGCTAAGCTGAATAAATAATAGTTAGTAGCTGTGTGCATACTTTTATTCCTAACTATCACCAAACATGTAAATACATTACCGATTAACCCAGTTACGAATATAAGCGAGTAGATTATTGTAATAGGTAAAACTATATACAGAGGATCTCTTTGAGGACCAAATATGAGCGTTGGGTCAGCAATTAGAGAGCCATTAGTAGTATCATTAATAAAGTCTTCCATAGAGCTCATGGTGTACTTTGAATTGTTTTCATTACTATGATTTCTTATTATTTTGTTTTAAAACTGCGCGAAGTCCATCAATTTCTTCATTAGATGTCTTCCGTGTTGCCTGAAAAATAAGAAAAACGTATTTAAGTATTATATGCTTCGTTCTAAACAACTGAACCACTTTTATTAGGCTTAATTATTGTTTAGAGACTATAACAAGTTATTCGAATATATAAAAGGAATAAAGTCGTATACAATAGGCACAGCTGTAAGTCTTATCCATACTTGTAGTATCAAGTAAATGTAAAAAGGAGTTAGGTATTCGAGTGAATACCTACAATATCTGCAATGAGTAATCACGACACATTGCAGATATATGCGGATAAACCTATACACATTCCTATACACAAACAACAGTTGATAATCAGTAAAGATTATCCACTGTGGTTTTAATCTAATACTTACAATTAGTACTTCAGTCGAAGTAACCAATATTTCTTAGTATTACAAGCATTCCGTTCTTACGACACTTTCACAGAAACGTATTCTATATTATGTATAAAAATAAAGTCACTGGCAGTTAACAAAAATCTAACAAAATGCCACTTGTTTATTAAATAATGAAAAGTTTCTTCACCGGATAGCGAATCATTACAATACTGGTCTGTCTACCATAATTACATTGTTTTATAAACCAAATATTAATATATGATATGAAGGGGGGTGTGTTTGGGTTATTCCGTTTTAATTGTTATTAAGTAACGTATCCAATATTCATTACAAATGTTATTTCAATGTCAACTGTCAGGAAATTCCCAAGTAATTGCAAGCCAGCGATAATAATATACTTTATACATTATGCATTATCCATATAAAATAGACCATAGACAATATATTTAGTATCTATTTACCTGATGTGTCTACTTACCTACCACGATTTGAATTGAAAAACTTTATGACAGAAATCACTTTATTGTTATATAATGTTATGACTGGGTAATATTGTTGATTCATACATATAACAAAACTATAAGTGGACCAGGTTTATACACAGGTTATACGATTTTAAAGCAAAAGGACAAGTAGTACTTCTATTGTCGAAGTAAAATAAATAGTTTTTAGATTTTTGCTCATTTGTGTGTGAGTTTGTAGCAAAAAATTTTCTTTAGCAATTTGTTTTCGCTGGTGTATCGTAGCAATTTTCTCGTAAAATTTAATATTTGTTTGATTTATTTATTTCATTATATATTGAAATTTTCAATAGTATAAGAGTATGCTAATAGCATTATGCTTGCTAAGGTAGGTTTTTATTCCGTTCACAAACAAATAAGTTATAATCTACTTTGTTTTACGTACAAAGTCACGGAAATAGCTTGTGCTTTATAAGTAACTTGTAGGTACTAAATCTTATACTTAATCATAATAACTATGTCCGACAATAACAGACAGATCGCATAAATCCAAAATTCCTCGGATATTCCACATTGCTTATCAATAAGAATTCATTGTAGTTAATATTGTGAAATAAATGTAAATTGACAGATTATTACAATTAGGACCGTCGGAAGGATTTGAACGTAAACAAACAAGTAATCTTTTGAGTGGGAGATTGTGTTTGTTTGTGTAATTCGCGCTACTGTGTCAGTAATGGAATTGGATATGGTTATTAGGTATGTACTCGTATCTACCTAAATGCAACCAATCATAAAAATTGGATCGTTCGAATAACTTATCCACGTTAATATTAATATATGTAAATACTAAGATTGACGGTACAACCTATAGGTACCAACTATACTGTTGATACTAGTTAAGCGAGCTAAGTTATTCTGACATACATAAATACCTATTATGTATAGTTTATATATATATATGTATACATATGTTTGTACATTGTTTGTTTGTACATATGATTATGACATGAAAATATATATACGTCCCATTGGAAAAATGAATTACTGAAATGGTGATCAAGTTTGTGACATAGATTTTGTTTATTACCTACCTTCCACATACAAAAGCAAAATTTGTATATTTTTTCTAATATTGATATTTTTTTTAAAACTAACTATAAAGTAAACGTTTATGAATTACAATTAGACATAAAAATACAATAGCTATTATAAAATAGTGCTTCAATTAATATTGCACTTAATATTCTTGCAGTAATGCAATTAATATTGTTCTAGGTATTTGTTGAAGTTCAATTATAATATATTTTTTAATAAAACTGTAATGTCAATCACTGACCACCTGATGGTAAGTGGCGAGCGTTACCTATATACATGAACAGCAGCTTGTATATCACGTTGTTATGTGACCACTGTGGTACCACTAATACGTTGCTACTTCAAAGGACTAAGGTGCTTCCGTATTATGTAATTTCATTGCCATTTACTAATATATCGTTGAAACATGACTTCTGTAACGCTCCTTAAGGATCATAATATTATAATAGCAATGAGTCGTAAAAGTATTAGGGGACACATTTCTTAAAATATTGTACCAAAATTGCCTTAAGGTTTATACAATGTGTTATTATTTGATGACCATGATAAATAAAAAAAATATATCTCACCTATATTCCTATATAATATACAATGTGTATTATATCGACCTCAAATAAATGGGATAAGGGAAAAGCAGATGATATAATATTTAATCTAATGCAAGCTGAAATTTAAATTTGTACAATGTGTTTTTGGCATGTTATGCGGAGGAATGAGGATCATGTCTTATTGAAAGTGTATAATATGAATATGGATGGATGTAAAGGGAGGACGCCCTAAGAAAAGATGGATGGATTGTGTGAAAGATGATATGAATAAAAGAAGAGTATGTTCAGATATGACGATCTATAGAGAGCTGTGGAAGAGAATGACATACTGCGCCGACCCCAAATAATGGGGTAAAGGCAAGGCAATGATAACAATGTGTTTTTGTACAAATTATGGCTGATTTTTGTTTACCGATATGTATTGTCTATTCTATAACGCATCTATATAAAATATACGGCGTTCCAGGAAAAGTTAGTTTAACATTAGTGTCCGAGCTGTAGGTAGGTCTGTAGTTTAATGATAGCGTTATGGAGATCATAATAGTAAAAAACCGGTTTATTACGAGTCCAATGAGCGCATCAAGGACTTAAAGCTATTCATTAAAGTACTAGTAAATGTCGCGGATTTGCTTGTGTTCTTTGGATTTTTCTAGTGATCATAGTTTTGTGTTGTAATAAGTATAAATACATGTATAAGTATATACATACATATTGTCAGTTCAACCCCTACAAAAGTTACTTACTATATAGAAATAGTATGGAAAAAAATCTTTATCGAAATAAATTTACTTCTATACGTGTATGTAAGTACATATAAGTCTGAGTAAATCTTATTGCCGGAACTGGTATAGCTATTGCTCTGTAGATTTTGAACAAACTAAAGTCAAAGTTACGATATATTTAGTAGATATATATATCTATATAGTATCTGTATAGTATATTTTTTTTGACCTGAAATATTATATTTTTTCCCATATAAAAAGTTGATATGCATATGCGAGTATAAGCACGTGAATTTTTTATCACTATCTCTACCCAGCCTGATGGTAATCAAATTAATAAATAGAGTTAGATCGTTGTGTAATTGTTATAGTAATAGCAGTGAAATTAAATGTGTCACGTACAGTGATTGATTTATATGAAAAACCCGATATCCACTTTATAATTTCAATTTAGTGGAATTGGAAAAGTAGATTATTTTAACCTGTTTGTCAAGTTGAAAATTGTTTACTAATAAAAAACATAATACTGGTTAGTATTTACTGAAAAATAAATGCCACATACAACTAAAATAGTTTGAATGGATATTAATTTGACTATTAATAAATAAACTGTTATATTAACATAAAATAAAATAAATTGTTGATTACTATACTAAAGTTATTCTTTTTTTAATAACAGTAAATTAGCGCAGGTCTTTAATAATTGTTTTATGTTTTTCAATTGAGTAATATTATTTCGTTTTATGCTTAATTTTCATTGATAAAAAATGAGGGAAGATAAAAAAAATAATTAAAAAACCAACTTTGAAGTACCTAATATAATTTAACATTTTATACCTAGGAGTTAGTCAGCCATATATGTATATGCCATTTATAAATCTTCATATTATGTTACATAAACGTTGTCATTATGAAATAAGAGATGTAGATAACATGACTGTTTATGCTGTATCCATGCTACTTAAATTAAGTTTTCATTTTTTTCAGCCTGTTTTCATAATTGTATTCTGTCTGTGTGAGAAAGTCATTAGACCGTATACTGTCAACACATCTATCAACGAAAAGCGGGCAGAATTGGTTCGTCGCTAAGCTGTCATTTTACAACAGGATAACTCCAGGCCACATACATCTTTGGTCGCTTGCCAAATATTATTGGAGCTTAGTTAGGAATTGATGTTATATCCACCGTATAGCCCTGACCTTGATCCATCAGATTACCGTTTATTTCGGTTTACAAAATTCCTTAGACGGTAAAACTTTCAATGATGATGACGCTGTCAAATGGCAATTGGTTCAATATTTTGTTGGGAATACGGCTTCAGAATATTATAATACTTTTCGTATCAAGGCAGGACTTCAAAGATTTCGTATAGAATCCGTTTAACTCGCATCATAGATACAGCGAGTCAAGCGGATTGGTCTGAAAGAATAAAAATAATTGTATTATTCGTCTGCGTTGCGCAGACGTAGTCTCGTAATTCAGAATAAAATAATCAGTTGGACAAAAGAAATAGATTCTAAGAGCAATAAATAAAAGAATAGAATTTAATTAAAAATAAGTTTGATTTATAATTTCTTATTTGAAGATAAACTGAATTAGATTATGAATCAGTATAGTGATAATGTAGATAGTGTACTTATTTTGGAATTAAAGATCACGATAATACTGTTATAGGTTTCCATTGTAAAATAGTTGACAAGACTATTTACGATGATACGTTGTTGTCTATATCATACAATGAATTTTTAAAGCAATTAAATAAAAAAAAAATCCATCAATATCAAAATTGATATAGCAGTAAAGTTTTACAACATTATTGGAAAAATACAAG